CAGTTCCGGCAAAGTTCTTGTGGCTGCTGGTCAGGTCATGTCGTTCAATGCTCTTGCTAGTTCTGAATTATATGATCCATCAACAGGGCAGTGGAACTCTACTGGAAACATGGCAACCGCGCGGACATATCATACTGCAACCCTGCTCAGTTCCGGCAAAGTGCTTGTGGCTGGTGGTACAGACACGTCAAGCAATGCTGTTGCTAGTTCTGAATTATATGATCCATCGACGGGGAAGTGGAACTCTACTGGAAACATGGCAACCGCGCGGAGAATGCACACTGCAACCCTGCTCAGTTCCGGCAAAGTTCTTGTGGCTGCTGGTTTTGGCGGGTCGTTCGATGTTCTCGCTAGCTCTGAATTATATGATCCATCAACGGAGCAGTGGAACTCTACTGCAAGTATGGTAACCCAGCGGAGATTTCATACTGCAACCCTGCTCAGTTCCGGCAAAGTTCTTGTGGCTGCTGGTAGTGGCGGCATGTCAGGCGGTGCTATTGCTAGTTCCGAATTATATACTCTATGAATTCTGGACTCTCTCTTCATATCAGCACAAAGGTCACTGCTCTCTTACATTTTAAATCACAAAGTTCTTTTGATGCCGTTTTCCTCTTGTCTCTTACGAAAGCGTTAAAACGTTAAAAAGACATCTAGATAACCTGCTTAGCATTATGATAACATCGATTGATGTCACAGAAAAATAAAAGTCGATGCACCAATATACGAAGAACGCAAGAAAAAAAATATTACTTTGATTGTAACTGCATGTATATATGCATGCGCGCTTAACGTTCAGTGAAACGTGGAAATTATTAGGGCTCATGCAATTGATGTCACACGGCAAATGTGGTATAATTTGTCATGTAACTTCTAACGATTTTCTGTTACTTGTTCTTACAGTATGGCTGTATCGCTGACGGACCGAGGCTGGTATGGATTCTGTCTTAAAACCAGTTATGGAGAGTATCTTAAATTGCCCTTGCGGTTAGTTTTAGTGTTGATGATACTTGTGATGACAGGAAGACTATCCTAAAGATTGATATGGCTAGTGACTTAAATGTGTATGGAGAGTGTCTGAAAAGGACACATGGAGACTGCCCTAAAAGTGGATGCGTAGAGTGTCTGAAATTCAATGTTTCATCATTTATTAAAGCCTATACTTTATTGCACGATTGTATCTGATGGGATCCTATCATTATAAACAATTGCTACTATACTGTTATTCGCTCAAATTTTAGTGAAAACTGGGTCTGTTCGAAGTCACAGAATATATGGATAGATTCTTATCCTATAGTTTTCGACCTGAAAAAGTATTTTTTATCAGCTAGAGGAGTTACTCATTTTAGACCAAAGGTGCTACGCCAACCAACTGTTTAGACTTATTCTCCCGTTTGGAAAACGTTCTCCGATACCCAGGAACAGAAACTATTACATGGAAATTAGCTTTTCTATTTATCACAAGCTCAGGGACGAGCTCTGCGACAAGCTCAGTGGCCAGCTCATTGACAAGCTCGGTTCCAAGCCCAACAGTAAGCACCGCGGCAAGCTCAACGACAGGCTCATCGACAACTTCAACGCCAACGACAAGCGTCGCACTCGGTAATTTGCGTTTCTTGAACGAAATCATCTGTTAGGACCTTGAACGTGCTTTATGTAAGGACTTCAGCTTGCCACTGAGCCTGCCACTCAGCCTGGCATCGAGCTTGCCACTCAGCTTGTCCTCGAGCTTGCCATTGGGCTGGTCACACAGGTTCCCACTGAGCTTGTCACTGAGTTTGACAGTAAGCTTGGCACGCGAGCAACTGCATCCGTTGTTTAACCGCAGTTTGCGAAGAAAAGTTTTGGATAAGGGTGTTTCCACGCAGGTCCGCCCGCTTTATACAAAAGTTTTGGCCGGGTGAATCTCACTATGCTCATTAGATAGAGCATGCCAAGTTACATATAAATCGATATTTTTTATTGACAAAAGTTAGGCCGTTGATGGTGAACCAGTGCTTG